CTTTTATGGCATACCTGTTAAAAAGCTTAGTTTTGCATTGGAGTAAATGCTGTAAATGCAGATTGGTCAGAATCCTTCGTGCTGTGTTATTGTCCCCTTCCAGACAATCTGTGCAATTAATTTGTTACATCGCGATTAAACCTCTGTGGAGGATATTGCTCCAGCATTCAAACTACAGCATGCGATGTCCTGGGAAACAGATTTGGCAAGAGGCTGTAGTTTTGTGTAATGGTGTGTATATGGGGTGCTTAAACCTGTCACCCATCAACACCTATTAGTTAGGGTTGCCAGGTTCGGGCTGGGAAATTCCTGGAGATGTGGGGGTGGAACCGTGGAGGGTGGAGTTGGGGATGGAGCTGAGCGGGATATAGTGCCATAGAGTCTGCTCCCCAGAGCAGCTTTTTTTCCCCCTGGGAGAACTGATCACCTGGCCAGTGAGGGGACTCACCAGGAGAAAGGGGAAGGCTCAGGAAATGTTGCTGGCAACATGGTGACATCACTTCTGGCATGCACAGGAAGTGATGTCATCACACCAGCAACACTCTGGTATTTAGGGGAAAACTTTTGTGGTAGAAGCCATTTTTACTATAGAGTTTTTGCCCAGATACCAGAGTGTCGCTGCGAAGTTGCAGTGTGATGACATCATTTCCTGTATAATACGGGAAGTAATGTCATCGTGTCACTGGTGACATTGCCTGGACCCTCCCTCCATCTCCTGGTTAAGTCCCCCCTCATCCCTGGCTGGAGGAACCTGGCAACCCTAGCTGTAATTCCAGGAGATTTCCAGGCCCCAGTGTGAGGTTGGCCACCCTGCTATTAGTGAAGATGACTAAAGGGAACCAGAGACAGGGACAGTGTGTTCCTAAGAGGAGTCCATTGAAATCCATGTGCTTAGAAGGGCGTAACTCTCCACTGGTATGAGTAGGCAGCATCAGGTGAAGGTCTTGGCCTCTTTACTGGGTTTGTTACCCTTTCAAGGCTGCTGGTTGGACCCTGTGTGAAACAGGGTGCTGGACTAGATGCGCCACAGGTCTGATCTAGCAGGGCACCACCTATGTTTCCTCTCAAATTTTTCTGCTTAAAATTGGAAACCCTAGCTGCTTCCTCCACTGCAGTGTTCCAGATGCCTGTTTACCCTTATAATTACTCATCTGCAAGCCTTATAAGTATGTACTACAGATGTCACAGCAGGGGGCAAATCAGCCGATAGGCTGGCCCGCAGTTTTGGACGGAAAGATTACTGGAGGGGAAAGGGTCAAGTGCCCCCACCCCCGCCTCTCTGAATTGCAACCTCCTGAGGCTGCTTTTCATATTAAAGAAGAAGAAGAGATTGGATTTTTACCCCGCCCTTCACTCTAATGAACCCCAGCAGTTTACAATCTCCTTCCCTTCCTCTTCCCACAACAGACACCCTGTGAGATAGGTGGGGCTGAGAGAGCTAACTTTTGAGAACTGCTCTCGAGGGAACAGCTCTGAGAGAACTGTGGCTGACCCAAGGTCACCCAGCTGGCTGCATGCGGAAGAGTGGGGAATCAAACTCGATTCTCCCAGATGAGAGACCACGCTCTAACTGGCTCTCATTATATTAAATCATATTAAAGACATACTTTGCCTGTATTTGCATAATATCAAATTTGCTCCTGACAAAGAGTGACTGTTCTTGGTCGCCTTGTGAGTTGCAATCTGAACCTGGGTTTTCCCAGCTAGTGTTGCCAACCTCGGGGGGGGGGGGGGGTGGGGGCTGTCCCACCATAATAAATCCATAATTATAACCAGGGGTAGTTTTGTAGAAAAAGAGGTGCAGGAGCTCATTAGCATAACTCATTTACATAACTTATTTGCATATGCCACACCCCCTGACATCACCAGAAGTGTGTCAGAAGGCAACAACCACCGCTCAGGCGCCACTGGACTGTTTTGCATTGCTAGCTATTGGGGGACGGATGGACATGCAGATCTGTCCTCGCAGAGGAGGGAGAGCTTGTACCTGAATAAAACTTGGTCTTAAAGGTGCTACTGGACCGTTTTGGACTGGGGGGCCGGGTGGGGACTCTGCAGCTTACCTGGCTGTTTCTTGCTCTGACTGAGGGTTGCTGGGAGCAGGGGGTGGGGCTTGTTGCATGTGCCTTCCCCCTGTGCTCTTTACTGCTGGAGGTCCGCTCCTGTGCGCTCCTGCAGGAAATGACCCCTGATTATAACTGATCTTCAGAGTACAGAGATCAGAGAAAGCATCGTCACAGAAGTATTTCAAACAACATTGGTTACGAGCAGCACTTCTAAAAGTTTGGGATTATATCTACAAAAGGCATTACATAAAAAACTCAATACTCATTGCACCTCTGGAGGCATTTACACTGCCGAATATCTATGCCGGGAAAGAACTAAGGATATTTGGGATAACAAGAATGATCTGAGAATACCAGAAGATTTGCCATGGTGGCAAAAGGCCCAAATAGAATCCAGATTTTATAAAGATAAAAGATTGGGTTTCTATAAAAACTTAATGGAGCTTGAAAATGTTTTGACTTTTCCAGACTCAACATTTATAAAAAGAATCTATACCTTCATGCTCAACGATACGATGTATGAGGAGACAGTTAAATCTAATATGATATTATGGGCACAAAATATAGATCATAATATTGATTTAGACAAATGGGATCAGATATGGAAAAATATCAAAATTACAAAAGCTATTGCATATAAAGAAAATATATACAAAATGTTTTACAGGTGGTATATAACACCAGATAGAATAGTGAAATCTAATAATAAATGTTCTAATGTATGCTGGAAATGTCAATGTAAAACAGGATCTTTTTATCATATGTGGTGGCATTGTGAAATAACTAAAAGATATTGGAGGTGGACTCATGAAATAATGCAAAAGATATTAGGTATTGTTATACCATTTACACCAGAGGTAATCCTTTTGAATATATTATCAAATGACTTTGACAAAAATGATAGATATTTGATTGTATACTTTACTACCGCAGTGAGAATTTTATATGCTAAGTACTGGAAGTCATCTGAAACACCAAAGAAACATGAATATATAACCAAACTGATGGAAGAAGCAGAATGTGATAAATTAACTTTATTGATGAAAGGGTCTTCAAACTATACATTTGAAAATACATGGAAGCGTTTTTATAACTGGTATAATAACAGCATAACAGATTGAAGTATAAAGGTTTAACTCTAACTGATAATTAAATGCTTGAATATTGAAATATGCAGACACAGATATAGATTTTATTGTACAGAAATAGAGCCACCGGAGAAAGAATTATTTGTGCTAATGAAATAAGATTTTATTATTGTAAACTTACGAGGCAAACTGTTTTAAGGACAAGCATTACCCCCATTTATGTTTTGTGTTGTATTTTGTATATGTTTATATGTGTGTTTATTTTCAAAAACAAATAAAATTCTGCCCCTTGGGGCAGTTAAAAAAAAAAAAGAGTACAGAGATCAGTTCTCCTGGAGAAAATGAGAGCTTTGGAGGATGAACCCTATAGCAATTACCTGTTGACTTCTCTCCCTTCCCCTCCCTAATCTCCGCCCTACCCAGGCTCCACCCTCAAACCTCCAGGAATTTCTCAGTCCAGAGTTGGCAGCCCTATTCTCAGCTCTCAATCTACTCTACCTCTGTGGCTCAGAACCACTAAAGTTTACCTTACTGGCCCCACTGTGATCATTCCCACAGACAAAATCCCCACTTAGTGGAGTTGCCAGCCCCCAGGTGGGTGATACAAACGTGAGATCACCGGTTAGGTTGTAAGTAAACAAAAAACAACCTTATTATGCAATCTATTCAATAATTATTATTAAGCATTTATATTATGGTACAGATTACAAAACACATGATGGTTGGTCAGATATTTGGAGTAACTTACGTCTACATCAAAGAAGGATGGAGTAAAGCCATTTTTAACTGTACTACACAGAGGAACCTCATTGAGCAGGGACAGTTTGCTTTACAAGGACACCTTAAATATTTGTATAATTTGTATTGGAATGTGTTCTGTAATCTGTTTGTTGTTGTTGTTCAGTCGCACAGTCGAGTCCGACTCTTCGCGACCCCATGGACCAGATCCCACCAGGCCCTCCTGTCTTCCGCTGTCCTCTGTAATCTGTACCATCATATAAATGCTTAATAATAATTACTGAATAGATTGCATAATTATATCACGGTTGTTTTTTGTTTACTTTCAGCCTCCAGGTGGGGCCTGGAGATCTCCCGGAATTACAACTGATCTCCAGGCTTGGAGATGAGGAACAGAGATCACTTCCCCTGGAGGTAACGCCGGCTTTGGAGGGTGGACTCTCTGGCACTCTACCCCACCGAGCTCCCTCCCTTCTCCGAACCCTGCCCTCTGCAGGCTACACCCACAAACCTCCCGGAATTTCCCAGTCTGGAGTTGGCAACCCTGCTGCTCAGCAAGTCCCTGTCCGGTGGAGCCTGTTTTCTCCTCCATGCCTGCGTCCCGGAGCTCCAGTTTCAAAGGTGCCCTCCCCCTCGTGCGCACCTTCCAGCTGGCAAACAGAGCAGCTTGCTTTTTCAGCCAATTCGTGTAAGACCAAAAAAAAATTCCCCAGGCAAAAGGATTCCATGGTAACTTTTGCCTGGTCTGGGAGGAGGAGGACTGCTGCCCTCTTCGGGTCTCTTGGCTGCAAGGAGCAAAAGAGGGGGGAGAAAATCCCCAGAGTTCAGGGCTGGGCAGTGGTGGGAGGGGCGGAAGGACTAGATATCTGGCCCGATTCCTCCCCTCCCTTGGTTGATGATTTACTTTTGAAATGTAGCAACCGGCCCGTGGAGGGAGAAAAAAAAGGCAGGTGTGTGAGCTCTGGAGTCAGGGCGGCCCCGCCCCTTTGCTGCCCCACAGCCACTCAGGTGCTTCGGTTCTCCGACGGGCAGCCCCCGGTTCCCTCCCACCTGCTGCACTGTATATAGGCCTCTGCTGCCCCAGGAGCCCCTGCCTTCAGCACCCTGCCTGCCTCCAGTGCCTGCCCGCCTGAGCCTCTCTCTCTCTCTCCCCCCTGACTGACAGCCTGCAAAAGAGAAAAAGCAAAAATGTCTTTCACTGTGACCCAGAAGAGCTACCGCAGCAGTTCTGCTGCCCCGGTCCGCACCTTCAGCAGCCGCTCCTACACCCCGGGCCCGGCCAGCAGTGCCCGCATCAGCAGCTCCTATGCTTCCTCCAGCTACGGCGGGAGCGGGAGCCGCTTCGGAGGGGGCAGCGGGTTCGGAGGAGGCAGCTTCCGTGGGTCCTCCATGGGAGCGGGCGGCATGATGGGGGGCATCACGGCCGTCAGCGTGAACAAGAGCCTCCTGGCGCCCCTGAACCTGGAGATCGACCCCATGATCCAGCAAGTGAGGACCAAGGAGAAGGAAGAGATCAAGACCCTCAACAACAAGTTTGCCAACTTGATCGACAAGGTGAGTGGACGGCCGGACGGCCGTCTGGCTGGCTCTCCCTGCTCGGCCTTTGCCCCAAAGGCCAGGTAGGCAAAACCGTCGGCGGGAGGGAAGAAAGGGCCTGGGTTTTTTTGCACGAAAGCCAAACTAAGCGCTCCGGTGAAGCTGCCCTAAGCTGGAGTCTGCCTGTGTTGAATTCATCTCCCCTTTCTGGAGGCGAGAGAATGAACCTGGCAGCAGGACAAATGGGTGTGTTCGCCCAGGAAGGCACGGCCGAGGCCTTTGGTGTGTGCACATTCCAGGTGGAAAAAGCAAGGCCCGGTTTCTGGGTCCGCTGCAACAACCAGGGGGCAGCTGGGGTTGGAAACGCGATTGCGTGGAAAGAGCAAATTCTGGGGCTTTAAAACTTCCCTTGGTCTTCTCACCTCTCCCCGCCCAACCCCCCTCCAAAGGAGAATCAAACCTGTTCCCCCGTGTGATCGGACCAGTTTGGTGAGCCGACAGCACCTCCTACGTGTGTTAAAGATAACGTCGGGATTCAGGTTTTCGTTTTTTAGAAGGAGAAAAACTATGTTTGCCCCCCCCCCCTTAGTCACCATCGTTGAATCAGCAGTGCAAACCTTTCTTAGATGCAAGGGCAGAATCCCCCTTTGTGCAGATCATGGTCAAAGGTTATGAATTTCCAACGCATGGGCGTTTTTCTGCACTCAGCTCCAGTAGTGTCTTTCATTGATCGGCCTAGTATAGACATAATACTTCCACTTTCTAATTGTGGTGATAGGGTCTGGAGGGAGCTGTAAGGATTATGCCCCTCCCTCCATTCCCTTCTTGTTTGGTGTAGTGGTTAGGAGCGTGGACTCTATTCCTGGAGAACCGGGTTTGATTCCCCACTCCTCCACATGCAGCTGCTGGTGTGACCCTGGGTCAGTCACAAGTTCTTTCAGAGCTGTTCTGTCAAGAGCAGGTCTCAAAAGAGCTCTCTCAGCCCCACCTACCTCACAGGGTGTCTGTTGTGGGGAGGGGAAGGGAAAGGAGATTGCATACCTCTCTGAGACTCTTTTAGGTAGTGAAGGGCGGGGTATAAATCCAATCTCCTCTTCTTCTTCTTGTGTATGAATGCCACCCCCCACCATTTACCTGAAGGCCTGAAGGGTGACATCTTCACTGGCCACTCCAGATGGATAATCTGTTGTGGCAAAACAGTACAGGGTGGGGTCCAGCAGCCCCCCTCAAAAACAAAAAAATGTGTCCCAGCAGAAGCTTTTGCGAGTCTCTTCCTTAGATGCGTGGATGGCTTTAGCTGCAATTAACATGCAACAGGGCTCCCATCGCAGCCGGGGTTTGGAGCAGGGTTGCAAACCCAGGTTAAGGGAGTGTCCCACGGGGGGGGGGGGATGGTAAGTCTTAGGATAGGTGTGTTTTGGGATTTGGAAGGTTCCTTTCCACCAGCATTCTGAACTGCTAGTGAAGGAAGGGAACCGTGTGTTTTTGCTGTAGGTTAAAAAAAAGGGGGGGGATAATGTGCCACTGTGAACCCTCCTCAGTTTATGTGGTTACGGGCAGCATGTGTGACCTTTAATTTAGGATTGGCAACTCTGCCCTGAGAAATTCCTGGAGATTTGGCCAGAGTGCCTCTGGAGGGAGGAAGTTGGGGGAGGATATAGCCTGGAATCTGTGGTATGGATCTCTGTAGTCTGGAGTTAGGGTTGCCAGCAGTAGGGTCGCCAGCTCCAGGTGGGGAAACTCCTGGAGGTTTGGGGGTGGAGCCTGGAGACAACAGGGGCTAGGGTTGCCAACTCTGGGCTGGGAAGTACCTGGAGATTTTGGAGGTGGAGCCTGGGGAGGGCGGGGTTTGGGGAGGGGAGGGACCTCAGCAGGGTACAATGCCATAGAGTCCACCCTCCAGAGCGGCCCTTTTCTCCAGGGGAACTGATCTTTGTTGTCTGGAGGCTAATCCCTATCTGGGGAGCAGTTGTAAGCAATGCTCCCTCTAAGCTGTGGAATCTTGTGAGCAAAAATTCTACCATGTGAGCTACTGGCATTAAAGTGGGGAGTGAGTGATTTGGCTGTGGCATGTATTAGTTTGCTCTGGAGCCATCCTTTCTGAGCCGAGACAAAAAATGTGTGAGCCGGAGGCTAAAAAACTGTGAGCTAGCTCACACTAACTCAGCTTAGAGGGAACAGTGGTTGTAAATCCAGGAGAACTTCACATCCCACCTGGAGGTTGACCACCAAAGGAAGTGGGCACACTGAAACTTCTGCCACCATAAATTCATTGGTCTTGCAGCAGCCAACATGGCTACCCCTCCAGAATGTATCTTTGCAAAGATGCCATTGGTTGTGACTGCCGACCACTGGACAGATGAATGGGGTGGTTATGGCCAAGGCTCTGGTGTGATGGTAGCTTTTCCTTTCCCCTTCCAGAGAGAATGAGATAGATGAAGTTTATGCATACCAGCTTGGATGCAAGTTCCATTTTAGAAAGTGGGAATTACGTCAGAGTAAACGTGCAGGAGGATTAGATTGCTTGGGCTTTTTTTCCTCCCTGGAAAACTGGTGTAGTGGAGAATCTCAGCCTCCAGGAGAGGATTTCTAACCTTAGGGGAGAATCAGTGTTTGAATAGGGCCACAGTAAGCATTAAAGGCCGTTAAAGGGACGTGGCGTTCTGAATGTGTGACCTTTACTCATTTTCCTACTTTCCAGCTATGGCTGCTTTGAACCAGTTTGGTGTAGTGGTTAAGAGTGTGGACTCCAATATGGGAGAACTGGGTTTGATTCCCCGTGCCTCCACATGCAGCTGCTGGTGTGACCTTGGTTCAGTTACAAGCTCTTTCAGAGCTGTTCTCTGAAGACTCCTTCGGCTAGTGAAGGGCGGGGTATAAATCCAATCTCTCTGTTCTACCTTTACTGGGCTGTTGCTGTTAACGTGGGATGGAAGGTGAGAGACAGCCAACTTGGCTCAAATGTAAAATGCCTGTTTGGCTTTCAAACGCCAAATGACTGGAATGCCAAACTAAGGAAGGGTCCCTCCCCAAACTGGGGGAGCCAATAGCCCATTTTTCTGTGCTCCACATTGCCTGCGTTTCTACTCAGAGGGGAGTGAAGGTCTTGGGGTCTTCATGGGTGGAGCCCTCGCAAGGTGTGCATTTCCCAGTCCCTGAAATTCAGAAGTAGAACATGCCTTAGAAGGAATGGGTTTTTTATTCCAGTCAGCAGTCTTCCTCTTTTTATCCTGCCTGAATAACAGAGAGGACCAATGTAGATGTAACACTCCTGAATTCTGTAATTAGGGATGCCAGCCTCCAGGTGGGACTAGGGGATCCCCTCCGGCATTACAGCTCACCTCCAGACTACAGAGATCAGTTCCCCTGGAGAAACTGGATGCTTTGGGAGGTGGACTCTATGGCATTGTGCCCCACTGCGGTCTCTGTCCTCCCCAGGCTCCGTCCCCAAATCTCCAGGAGTTCCCCAGCCTGGATCTGGCAACCCAAGTTCCTCCATCCCCCGCGGGTGGCTAGGAGGGACCTGGCAACCCTATAAAGAATCCAGTTGCAGTTGTTGCTTACTCGCCACAACAAGCAGTGTGACTTCACAAAATTCTTGTTTTATTGTTACTTATTTATTTACTTCAGTTATCCTCACAACAGCCCTGCAAGGTAGGTTAGGCTGTGTGCGTGTGACTGGCTCAAGGGTCACCCAGAAAGCTTCTGTGGCAAAGGCGGGCATTCAAACCTGGGTCTCCCAGATACACTCTGACCACAACTGCAGGCTGGCTCGAGTAACCATAAAATGACAGTGTTCCCCCTGTGTTTCTTCCTTTGTTTACTGCGACTCCTTTATAATTCTGGGGTACCTGAAATCTGATTCACATGTGCAGGTGAATGAAGTAGGAATGAATGAAGGTGGCGGAAGAGACTTGAAGTGGTTGAGTAGACTGTCCCACGTCATTCCACAGGTGCTGAATTTCACTTGTGAAACTTCCTTCCCTTTAAAAGATCCATGCCATCCAGCCAGAAGAAAGCTTCTTTTTTTTCTTTTGTTGTTTTATATGTGCATGTGTGCGTGCATTTGAGTGTTTGTGCACCTGGAGGTCATGACAACCTCTGGTGACTGACTCCTACTGGGGCTCTCTCTGGAAGCTATTTAGAGAGGTGGCAGAATCAAGCCTGCCCCTGCCTCCTGACTGCTGGCATTCCAAGGGAGGTCTGCCATCCAAGTACAAGTGGGGTTGGACTAGATAACTCTGGAGGTCCCTTCCAGCTCTGATTCTATGATACTTAGCTTCCAAGATCTGATGAGATCGGGCTTGCCTGGGTTATCCAGGTCAGGGCCAGGAGAAAGTTTCTACCTACTTTCAGTGCTTGCTGTGCTTTTCTATCTGCAGAGAATGTTTAACATATGGGGTCATTTCAAAATGAGATCCTCTACCTGTAGCCTGAAGGGTGTAGTCCATTCTGCCCCTACATTCACTTGCATATAAGAACTGGACATTAAACTGGGCTGCCAGTGGTCTTCTACCTGGGCACTGGATCCACACCTGGGACCAGGTGAGTCTTCTTGACCAGCCACTGTCACCTATCTGCATGTAGTGAGGTGACCATTACCACATCCTCTGTTTCCCAGATTCCCCTACAGATGCAGGGATATGGTCTGTTGTCTCATCATGTGGCTGGGGCCTACAGGCCCAGAGATGCCACTGGGTGGGTGGCTCGTCAAACCTCCAGGTGAGGCTTGGAGTTCTCCCAGAATGACCATTAATCTCCAGTCTACAGAGATCAGCTCCTCTGGGGAAAGGGGGACATCCCCGCGGAAGTCTCTTCCCTCCCCAAGCCCCACCCTCCTCAGGTTCCACCCCAAATCTCCAGGAATTTCCCAACTTGGAGTTGGTATCTCTACTGGGTGGGGTTTTCCATTACAGCATTCTCTGACATACAGAGCCTTCTGCTGAGACGAGTAGGTGACTGGGGAGGCTGTGGTTAGGAATTACACTCTGCACGTGCTCCAAATACTCATACTCTCC